GGGTTGGTGGTATCTGCAGCGCGCAGCTGTCCGGGTGCGCTGCCCAGGGGATGAGATTTACGTCGTGAGCACGGCTGTTGGCTGTCTTGGCAGAGCTGGGGAGGGGCGGCATCGGGACAGGTAGCCGGGAAAGGTGTTACTGCAGGACTTGCTGTGACAGAGCTGTGGCATGCAGCAGCTTCTTCCACAGAAATTTCAGGGCCTTTCTTAGAGCTGTTGAGGCACAAATGAGAAGAAGCTGTATCCTCACAGAAATGGCGGCAGAGTGCAGGCCACAGTTTGCTTTCACTTGGGAGGGGCGTCCAGAACACCTGGAACCGACTGCCCCAGGGGTGGAAACACAGCCCCACACTGGGCGCCAAAAAGAACTGTCGTGGTTTAACCTCAGTTGGCAACTGAGCACCACGCAGCCGCTCGCTCACTCCCCCCACCCCCGGTGGGATGGGGGAGAGAATTGGAAGAGCACAAGTGAGAAAAACTCGTGGGTTGAGATAAAAGCAGTTTAATAATTGAAATAAAATGATAATAATAATATGATAATAATAATACTACTACACAAAGCAAGTGATGCACAGTGCAATTGCCCACCACCCGCCGACCGATGCCCAGCCAGTCCCCGAGCAGCGGCCCCCCCGGCCAGCTTCCCCCAGTTTATGTACTGAGCATGACGTCACATGGTATGGAATGTCCCTTGGGCCAGTTTGGCTGTGCCCCCTCCCAGCTTCTTGTGCACCTCCAGCCTTCTCAGTTGGTAGAGCATGGGAAACTAAAAAGTCCTTGGCTAGTGTAAGCATTACCGAGCAACAACTAAAACATCGTTGCGTTATCAACTTTGTTCTCATCCTAAATCCAAAACACAGCACTGTACCAGCTACTAAGAAGGAAATTAACTCTATCCCTGCCAAAACCAGGACACTGGGAAATCTTTGGGGCTGCCTGAAAGCTAGGGAGAGCTCAGCTTTTAGCTGAGAACTGCCTGTGACCTCTAGCAGGCATCCTCAGTTGTTGTTCAGGTATAGTCAGTTCACTGTCAGGCTGAAATGTGAATGGGACTTGTTTATTGTACGTGGCTCAGTGTAGAAATGAAAATGCTATTTGAATAAGGAGCTCTGAGTCTTGGTGCTAACAACTAGGAAGCGGCATGGAAACCTTAGTCTCGGATGCATCTCTGTAAGTTCACTCCTAAAAACAAGGAGGTAGCGTGAGACTGTTGGAAGAATTCCAGGAGGAAGTGGGGTGTTTAGGATTTGACGCTCTTAATAAAATTCACTAGAACATTAGTTCCCCATCTGTGATATTGATTAAGGTATAGAAAATAGCATAAAAACCCAAGCTTCCAAATGAGTGAGTAAACTGCATGGTGAATGAAACGTACCTGTATAAGAAAGTCTGCCCTGACACAGGTGATGTGACTCATAAACCATTGGCCTGTCAGATAGTTCCCTTTTTTTAATCTTTCTTCTGTGGCATCATCCAAGAAAAACATCATAGATCATGGTCTTCATTTACTTGCTGAAGACCCAGTATTTAAGAAAGGCTGCAGTCTTACAAGAAACATACACGTTTTGATCTTTGCCTGTCAGAAGTATGATCTGTCCTGTAAACAGGCATTATTAATTGCTTGAGTTTAACTAACAGCAGTAGTTAGAGCAAAATGTCCCTCAGTGAATTTGGAACTCAAGCAGCCATTGAATTATTACAGGAAAACTTTGTATGTTTTTATTTCCAAAAGGAAAATGTACAAAAAAATGTACCAATGAGTATTTACATTAAAAAACCCCTACCACTTTTTGATGTTCGCAGGGATTTTTCAGCAGCAAGAATTTGTTTTGGTCTCATGTAGACACAACCAAACCTGCATGTTGTCCTACGGTATGACTATTGTGCTGCCGTAACTTAGACCTAAATTGCACAAGATGTTTTAAATGGAATTGTGGTCGTAATGTTCTTTCCTTCTTCGGCTGAATGTTGTAAAATATTTCGTTTTGTTTTCTAAAGAGTAAATTTCAGAATTTGTGACTCGATATTATAAAGGAGAAGCGACACTTAAAAATGGAAACATTCATCTGCTAAAGGAGAGCAGTTGAGCACAAATTTCATTTTCTGCTGGCCTTTAAAGATTGGTTTTGACATGCTAAAAATGGTGATTCTTTGAATTGAAATACTTACATCCAAAAGTTGCTGCATCCTTAAATCAGAATGTAATTTTCCACAGGAAACATTATTGCAGCAGTTCTGCCATTTGAATATCTCCAGTGTGTTATGGTGCAATCAGTTCTAGCTGATTCATTCCCTGCAACAAGGCAAAGGTACAGTTACGTTTGCCTAACTGTGTAAGCTTTGGACTACGGGTTCTTGGGATTTTGGGGGGCAGAGCACACCTTGTCAGGCCTCTTAAAAAAAAAAAAAAATTGTTTTGTAAAGGTGAGGAATAGTAGAAACTCAGTAGTTCTGAGCTGAGACTTGCTGTAGGTGTGATGGAAACTAAGCGAGCACAGGAGTTTGCCTTGGCTTGCGGCAGAGTTGCTAGGTCTCCTTTTGGCTTCTCCTGTGGCCCACTGGTGTGGGAGAGCTGACACAAGTGAGCTGCTGTTCCTAGGGCAGGGACCGACTGCAGAAACTGCTTTAGATACGGAAACAGGGACATAAAGCCCCTCAAGAGGGTGAATTCCATCTAAGGAGTGGGAGAAGCATGTTTTTTACATTAAAATTCAGATAGTGTATTCTGCAGGCTGCTACAGTAGTCTGAAGGTAGTGATGAAGTTAGTTTAGTTACTTTAATATGTATGAAAAAATTCACTTTGCTTTTTTTCCTAATGTTACTTTTTACTCTGTTAATCAGCAAATGACATTCAGCTTAAAGTAGTTTACCCTGTTAACTTCATTGGAGTTTGTGAGTGTGTGTAACATGGAATTGGCTAGGGAAGTAATTTTTTTTAGTAACGGGATTTATTTTTTAAAAGGTACTTGTACGAGGAGGTACTGATCCTATTTATCTTTGTTTCACCATTGTTGACATTGGAATTATGTAAGTTTGAGGAATCAATTGTGCAACTGCTAGCTTTTTTGTCTAAAAGGTTACAGGTAGTTTAACTTTTTTATATTGTTTGAGTGTGGATACTTTTGGTGACTCAACCACTGACAATATCAAGAGCTGGGCTTGGAACTGAATTGGTTCTGCGTATCCAGCTCTAGGAAAAGCTTGACGTTGTCTGCTTACACAAGGTGTCCAGATAGCAAAAGCAGGGATTTCAGAGACCATGCATCAGTGATACCTACTGTTGGAATATTAGTATGTGCACACGCACAGTAACACCCACAAGCACCCCCATTAAACATTTTTGGTAGTAAGATACTAAATGAGTGCTGACTGTGTTCTGTTTCTTGTTAGCATGTAAATGAATGCTAAGTGATTAAAATACGATAGAGAGTATTAAAGAACATAGGAATGGCATACTGGTCCACACTAAGCTTTGTGTTCTTCTGGGGTCAGTGTCTGGGAGAGCATCAGCCAAAACTCTCCCGTGGGGAGCGGGACAGCAAGAGCTAACCCTTGCTGTTTGTGGGCCGGGCTGCAGTTTCTTTTTGGTCACATGCACCATCTACT